GGGTGCCGCGCTCGGGCCGGGCGCTCGCGGCGCGCTCGTGGCTGCGGCGGGGCGGGCGCCGGTGCCGCTCGAGCCGCCGGGCAGCCGGTGCTGGGCTGGGCGGGGCCGCCTCTGCCAGGCAGCGCCTCTGCCCGGGGATGCTCCGGGAGCGGGGCGGATCGGCTCCTTCCCGGGCTCCTCCCGCTGCCCCGGCGCCTCGGCCACGTCTGAAAGCGGCTCATTGTCTCTGTCGGCAGCTCGGAGCCGCGGCGGTGGCGGCGGGAAGGTACGGGCGGGCTCGTGCGGGTGGGGGTGGCGGCTGCTCACAGGACTCGTCGTCGCGGTCAGACCGTTTTTTCCGGTCTCAGCGGTGCTTATTGTCAGTCGCACTACGCTTCAGGGGATGTATTCGAGCGGTTCGCACTCTCATTACGTTTCGGGGGATGTATTCGAGCCGTTCGCACTCGCTCTACGCTTCGGGGGATGTTTTTGAGCCGTCCGCACTCGCCCTTGCCCGCGGCGGTGAAGTAGCGGGAGCACCAGGTGCGGCGGAGCCGGTGTCGCACCGTCTCGAGCCGGCCGTTGCTTGAGGTGCAGTCGGTTGTTGACAGAGGTCAAGCTGTCGAAAATCAGACCTTTTTTTGGTTAGGTTTTTTTTTCTTCTTCTTTCCTCTCCCCTAGAGAACATGGCTGAGGTGATTAGGTGGTTTCGTTTGCTAGAGTTAGGTCGTGAAATAAGGTGCTTTAGAGAACATTTCCCGTCGTTCCGGGAAATCCCTTCCAATTTTTCTGTTGTGTCCAGCCTCTCTTTCCAGGTGAAGGTCACACACCGGTCGGAAGAATTTGTCTTTATTTTTTAGTTGCAACAGTTGCTTCAATGGGGCACACAGGGCACACCTCAGCCCATTCGTCCTCGGACGGTTTGAATTTGAGGACATTACTGTGCCGCTGCAGACAGAGTCTCAAGTAAGTGAATAGCATTCAGTCACTGTGGGTATCTCTTTGTCACTCCAGTTTTGCCATAGTAAAAATTCTTAACAAAAATTGCAGCTAAGCAGACCTCAATTCTTGAACACCAGGAATTCTAGCAGCTGAAAACACTTTGTGATTTTCAGCTGCGTTGCATGGAGAAACAGGTGGTGTAGGGCTGTGCCTTAACACTGCTTTTTGTTCAGGCTGGACAACTTTATCTAACTCCAAAAATTATAAATAAAACCCAAAGGAAACAGTACCTTTTGAAAAAGAACTGTAATGGTCATGTAATTAAATCCATGGTACGTTTAATTGTATTATAAACTATTTAAGCCTGATTATTTCCTAGAAACATTTGTTCCAACCTCATTTGCTCCTAGATTGTGAAAAGAAGTACATTTCTAAAAGCTAAATTAACAGTATCAGCTGGAATTCTAATATATTGTTAAGATTCAGAATCATTACAGTACATTTACTGTACTTTTATTGTTTTAGTTGCAGTTTCACTGTTCTATTAAAAAAATTAGGCAGGCTTTTGAATTTCAACTATTTAGTATTGGCCAGCTATTAGAAAGACTTTTAACTTTTTGAAATACCAGTAGTTACAGAAGGCACCCTCCAAACGAACTTTTTCTTTCCCCATTCAAAGATCAGTCTGCATATTGTTGGCAATACAGTAACCTTTTGCCTTATGAAGGTGTGTGATTTCTAGCTGCAGAAGAACACTGGAAATGGATATTTTGTCAGCTGGGTGATTACAGCAAGAATTACTAGTAATATTGTTGTGCATTTTTCTTTGACCAGCTTTGTCACGTTCCCGCATTTCACTTTTTAGAGCAGCAAAGTGTGTTCCTAATGTTGAGCCCATAGTAGCAATTCTGGTGGTGATTGCATTGGTGTGATGTCTTATAGGTGAAGTATGCAGTGAATAAACTTCTCCATGAGGGATAGTAGACCTTCAGGTGATCTTTACTCTGTTTATCATGCCATGCACAAATATTTTCCTATTTTTTCTACAAAATGCATGATGACATTTACCATTATCATTCTTTTTAAAGTTAGCACTGCTGACTTACATCTGGTGAATTGTAAGTACATAGGTGATACTTATATTCATCTTGTATGATTGCTCTGAAAAGTCAGCATGTAGTGTATGACAAGCATATAGGACAGTCATTGTTGGCTACCAAAAAGTATTAATTTTTCAGTGCAAAAGATCAATCTGGGAAATTAATTGAGAACATTATATGAAGTTGAAGTAATTTCTGTGTAATCTATAAAGACTTCAGTTTAAAAGTGCTGCATAAACTGTTTAAATTAAAGTGTGCTGGGCATTTTCTTAGACTCAAAATGGCCAGGGAAGACTGACAAAGACAGTTAAAATTCAGTTGTTCAGAAGCCATTGTAGGGGAGCAGGTATTAATAATTTCTCACTCAGATATTTTGCTTTATTCCAGCCAGGGTTTTCAGTCTTCCCAAAGCAGACCTAGGCCTGTTGGTTCTGAGGGAGTCTTTCATCCCAGCCTTTTGTCCCAAGCTCAAAGAGAGAGCGTGTTTCTTTACAGCTCTAATGTGAGGCACTCTCTTTCTGTCTTTCTACCATCTTTTTAGTATCCCAGAAAAAAAAATTGAGCAGTGTAAATAGGAGGGTCTTTTTTTTTCTTTAAGCTATAAAGCTTATTGTTGATAATTTACTAGGTCTCTCCAGGTTGAAATCTGTGCTGAAAGGAAGTTACTTAGAAACTGTACTCCTTTCAGAGATGACCTGCAAAGATCTCATTACTCAATTCCAACATTACATGACTTACATGACAAATAAATAAAAGTCCCTGAAAGCAAGAGCTAAATAATCACCCATTACACAGTTTCTTTCTCTCTTTTCTGCCATTCTGGGTCTGAAAAGTGCTCTCTTTAGAAAACAAGCTCTGCTACCACTGACTGTATTTTTACCCTGCTTGGTAAAACTGGATAGCTTTCTGTGTTGTATCTAGTTTCTTGGCAAGCAGTGGCAGATGCTAGTGGCCCTGCAGCTCAGCAGTCTGAGGCAGTTTAAGTAATGAAGAAAATGATTGCTCTGTTGGCCAGTTTGTGTAATTTCCTTTGGACGTTATGGAAGAATAGTTATTCTGGGACTGTCCCAGGGTTCATCTAGTCCAGGATCTTGTTTCCATTAGTAGCTGTTAGCAGGCAAGCCCAGTGACAGAGCTTGACTTAGAACTGTCAACTAAGCCATATATGCAGATGCTTTTCAGATCACATTTTGAACATTTGCATTGGCCTGCAAAGAGATGATTGTGCCTCAAGAATTTGTGAGGTTAGACTTCTGATTATTCTGCTCTTTGCCAGAACTCTCCCTGAAGAAACAGTATTACAAAAGAAGTACTACTGCTACTATCACACAAAAGGAATGATAGCGTAACTTTTAATAAAATAATTTATGCTTAGCAGTATTCGTTATTTACAAAAGCATGTATTGTGATCCCACCGAGTATTGCAGTACTTCATGCGTGAGAGATGTTGGAGTGCTCTGTGCTGCAAATTGCTGTCTGTCACAGGCTGTTTTTCTGCCTGTTGTAGCTCCCTTGCCACTTAGGGACAGAATGATTGCGTGAGTCTATAAGGAGGTGCTCGCTAGAGCTTTGTCACTGAGGTGGCAGCTGGAGTGGCAGTAAGGACATCTGGCCCCTCTGCTGCCCTTTCCCCCGTGCCTGTGGTCAGCAGGCCTGCTCTGGTCAGGCAGGTGCAGCCAAGGAAGCACCACTGTGGAGCAAAGAAGGAAGAAAGGAGGCAGAACGAGCCCCTCTTTGGCTCTCCTGAGAGGAGCTTGGGATGGACAGGTGGTGCCGCTGAGCTGTTGGCAGAGGAGGAGGGCACTGGCAGAAGGAGAGGTGAGGCAAAGCAGAGCAAGTCACAGACTAGTGTTTCACCTAGTAACCAATGCAGTTTTGGCATATTGCCTTTCTGTGCTGAAAGAGCTGGCCTAACAGCACCCTCTGGTGAGTCCTGCAAGGCTCTTCTTCCATTACTTACTTTTAATCAATATAATCGTTTGTTGAACTCTTGTATACTTCTGCTGCCACAGCATTTTGAGGCAGAGTTTCATATTTTTAAGATGCAGCATACAAAAAGGTTTTGTAATGAGAGATCATTAATTCAATTCCCCAATTTTCCTGTTTCGAGCAGTCATGAGAGAGTGTTTTTGCCGTTGTTCTCTCCAGGCCAGTTGTGATTTCTCTGTCTAGGGAGCCTCTTTTCTAGGCTGAGGAGCAATAGTCACTTCAGTATTCCTTTTACAGAAGTCATTGACTGTCCTTGTGCTTGATCTTCACTCCTTACTGTATTCAGCTATATCATCTTGAAGAATTCTTGTGGGCACATCAGAACTAAGAACTTAATGCATTTTATTATGTCAAATGAGTGTGTATATATATTTGCTAGTCTGCGTGGTTTCAAGAGTCCAGAGTGTGTTAGTATGTCTCTCTCACTGTAAAAAGAAACAAATTGTGTAAATGCAGCTAGATAGCAAATATGGAGATGATCTGCATACATGAGGACTCGTACTTTCCTAATACCTTGCCTGCTAACTGATTGCTTAGAATTGGAATCTGCACAACTGAGGGCACAAAGGGGTAGGTGCCAAAAACCTCTCATTAAAAGCTGTGAGGAATGCATGTGGCTTGAACTTTGACTTCAAAGTAAAACAGTTCCACTTGGAGTTGACATGCCTAAAATTTTCTAGGAGTTATATGTCATTTCTATATGTCTAGTCATTTCTAACTCCCAAATGGGTAATTCCCTTAAGTGCAAACTCGGGGTATTCAGTCTTGGGGTATATGCGCTCCAGACCAAAGACACATGTCAGCTGGTTTTTTGTTTTATCCTATGTGGCCAGATGTGGCTTCAGGTTGTGAGTTTTCACCCATCTTCTGCAGTTTGAAAAATAGAGGATTGTGCACAAGCATCAATTGGTGTAGCAGCCTACTACTACTGCAGGGTACAGCACTCACATTAGAAAATAAGATGGTTTTTATTTCAGCAGCCAGTTACTGAGTTCCCATCTACTCCTTTTAGGGGATAGAAGTCCTCGGAATGTCAAACTGAAACAGAAATACAGTGGAGTCATTCAGAAGGATTTTTTTTTATCCCTTGGCAGTATTTACCAGTATTCAAGTTGAGGGCTTTGTGTACTTTGTAGATTTTTTTTTTTTAAATCCAAGAATTGAGCTGCATCAACCTCAGGTTTTCTTCAACATCAAACATTTACTTATTTGCTTATTTGTGCAGTGATCTTACTGTCACACATTACTTCCTTTCAGTTTCTAACAGCTGTCACCTGCAGATGACTATCTCCAAGTGCAACTGGTTAAGGCAGCAGTTAGTGCCACATACATACCTGCCTATTTGAAGGAAGGTTTTACTAATGCAAGAGTTTCTATTGTGTAAGTTTTATTGTTATTGTGCCACAGGAGTGATAGTTCACCAGCATTTCCCTTCTCTTTTTCAGCTTTTCTTATTGCTCTTCCTCGGTGAGAATGGCAAGGATTCGGATTCCCAGCACAGTCGTTATACTTTTTGTTACAGTTCAGACTGGATTCTTACTCTTCATGTTTGCCCGGTACAGTAGCTTCATGCCTCAGGCTGTGGAGAAACCATCACAAGTCCACATCCTCATTCTCTCCTCCTGGCGGTCGGGATCTTCTTTTGTCGGGCAGCTTTTCAGCCAGCACCCCAGCGTCTTCTACCTGATGGAGCCAGCGTGGCACGTGTGGGTTACGATGTCTCAGAACAGCGCCAAAGTCTTACACATGGCAGTGCGGGACTTAGTCAGGTCGGTCTTCCTGTGTGACATGTCTGTGTTTGATGCTTACATGCCTTGGAAAAGAAACTTATCCGATCTTTTCCAGTGGGCAGCGAGTCGGGCTCTGTGCTCAGCTCCTGCTTGTGACTCTTTTCAACGCACTGACATTACCAGTGAAATGGCCTGCAAGACTCTTTGTGGACGGTATCCGTTCAGCAAGGTGGAGGAAGCCTGTAGAACTTACAGCCATGTTGTCATCAAGGAAGTTCGATTCTTTGACTTGAAGGTCCTCTACCCTCTTCTCACTGACCCATCCCTGAATCTCAAAATTATTCACTTGGTCCGTGACCCCAGGGCAGTCGTTAAGTCACGGGAACAATCAGTGAAGGCATTAGCCCGTGACAATGGAATTGTCTTGAGTACCAATGGCACTAAAGTGGAAGACAGCAAATACAAAGTAATGCAAGAGGTTTGTAGAAGTCATGTTCAGATTTATGAAACGGCTACTCTAAAACCACCTAATTTCCTTAAAAATCGCTATTTAATGATCCGTTTTGAAGATCTGGTAAGAGATCCATTATCAGAAATCTCAGAAATGTACAAATTTGCAGATCTTAATTTGACTCCCAGGCTCAAAAGCTGGATCTATAATATCACACATGGACAGGGACCAGGAAAAAAAAAAGAAGCCTTCAAAATCACATCTCGAGATGCAGTTAGTGTTTCACAGGCCTGGAGAAACGTTCTTCCCTTCCAGAAAGTTAAGAAAGTACAGGAAGTTTGCAAAGGTGCTATAAACATGCTTGGCTATCAGCTGGTGGATTCCGAAAAAGAACAAAGAGATCTGACATTGGATTTAGTGTTGCCAAGACGACAAAATCAATTCAGTTGGTTATCATTTAATCCAAAGCACTGAAACATTATTTTTGAGAGATATGGGGGGGTGGGGCAGGGTAGATGTTTGACTGTTTCTCTACTGCTCAGCGTATAGTAATTGGAAAATCCTTGGCTGATGACTTTAAGTATCTTTCTATCTACTATTTTTCCGTTAATGGAAGGAGTATATTTTCCTGAGTTTCTTACACCTCAAAAACAAAAAAAGGCAAGATAATTGTCATTGCAAATATACATTTGAGCTGTGCTGCTCAAGCATTGTTTTAAAGTACTATCATTTAAGTACTTTCTGTTAAAAGGTGAATTTTCAAAGATGTCTTTATTGATAATAGTTCACTTCTGTTTTCATGTTTTATATATTTAAGAATCACAGTTCTTTATTTGTATAAATGGAATGAAGTAGATACTAAATTCCTTCATTTGACTTTCTTCTTTCCTTTAAAGTTGTTGTGCACTTGTGTATTTTTTTTTAGACTTCTTTAGATGTTTTAAATTTTAACATAAAAGTTTTCCAAAAGCTGGGGCAACCGCAGCACTTCTGTTGTAAAGGGCTTAAACGGGATCTTAATTTATTGATAGATTTCATAGTGGTTTCCTTGGAGTGGCAACGTTTACAATCAGATACTTGAATGTGATGTCGGTGTGGAGTGCAAAAAGCAAAAATACACGAAGAAGCTTTGAGTAGAATCATAGCTGGTTAGTGGCGTCCCTGTCGCGTTCTGTGACACAGAGCAGGTGCACACTTGCTCCTGCAGCGCAGTTACCCTCTGTCTTCAGGACGACACGTTGTCAGTGAGGATGACGGAGTTGGCTGGGAAACGCTCGGACGGGATCGCTCAGTCCCGGCGGTGGCTCCGGGACGGGGCCTCGCGCGGGCACGGCGGGGGCAGCGGGCGCGTGCGCAGTGGCTCCCGAGCGCGCGGCTGTCGCTGCCGATCGACCCTGGCACTGCGCGCGCATGCGCAGTTCGCGGGGGGGCAGTGCCGTGTTTCGGCGGCCGCTGCTGCCCCCCGGTGACCGGCCCTCGGCACGGCTGGTGCGGACCCGGCGCTCCGGCACGGCGGGGCTGCCTCCCGTGAGGGAGCGCCGCTGCCGCCCCACGGCCGCCGCGTCGGCGGCTCTCGGAGCGTAAAGAGCGGAACTGCGGCCCGGCTGCCGCTCTGCTTTCAGGCGCCGGCCCTGGAGCCCGGGGGGCAGGGGGCGATGAGCCAGGGGAGGAGCGGGGCGGGGAACGGGCAAGGGATGCCTTTTCTGGCGGATCTCCGCGCGTGGCTCTGCCCCTTTACCGCGTCTGCACCCCTTCGCGTGTGGCCCGTGAGGGTGAGGAGGGGCCAGGGCAGCCCCGGGTGTGGCCGTGAGGGTGAGGAGGGGCGGGCCCTGCTGGGGGCAGCTCTCGGCAGTCACCCGGGTGCACCTTTCGCGGGGAGCGGCCGAGGGAGTGGTCCCAGGGCATGTCTCAAGGAACGACAGTGAGAGCATTTCGTGGGGCCTGGGGGAGCACCTGGATATACCTGAAGATGGAGCTTTGCTCAAGGAGGGTGCCGAGGGACGAGCCCTGTACCGAGGGGCAGCGCGGAAGAGGGGAGCAGCACCTGAGCAGGTGGGGCAGTGTGGAGGCGCGGGGAATCACACAGAATCACAGAATATGCTGGGTCGGAAGGAACCCACAAGGATCATCGAGCCCAACCATTAGCCCTGCACAGAACCATCCGCAAGAGTCACACCATGTGCCTGAGAGTACCGTCCAAAGCTTCTTGAACTCAGTCAGGCTTGGGAAGATGCAGCTGGAGGAAGAGCCGGGAGGTTTCTTTTATTGGTATGAATGTACAATGCAGGGAGTGACATGGGATATAAGCACTGCAGGTGCTCGGGCAGGTGAGCCAGCTCTCAGGGAAGGGAGTTGCTTTCCTGAGCACCTGAAGTTCCAGTTGCCTCTCTCAGAAGCAGTTGGAAGAAGTTTTTAGTTTGGGGCTGAGCTCCAAAAAGAGGGAACCTGAATCTGCTTCTTCTGATAAATCTGTAAGTATGGGAGACTGTAGGAAGCTCACTGCTGTGACCAGCAATGCTTTCTCATTTAGGAGCTGTACTGCCTACTTGTTCCTGGCAAATGCCACTAGAGTTTCTAGTCTGCAGATACTGTTACAGCTGCTGGGTACAGAGAAGAGTCTGGCACACTTCATTACCTTATTTCAGGTAGGCAGTGACATTTCAGAGCATGTATTATATTAATTAGCATATTTCTTAATTTTTGTGATTGCGGTGCCTATTTGCACTGGCATATTTTGAGATTAGGTGCTGTGAAGCTTCTTAAAATAAACAAGACCTAACCAGTGGTTACCTTAGCAGTATTTCAGCCTTGGACTGTTTCTGACAACACAGCCTAATACAGAATGCATTTTGTCTTCACCTTCTTTGTATCAGTTTTGTCTTTTAATGTAGAACATTAAAAATACATTTATCAAAACTGATAAGTTCCTCTAGGTCAATTAATTCCTTTCCTGTCTTAGTTTGGCACAATAAATCCACATAGTGCCTTTGGCATGTAAGAGTTACTGGGGATACATTTGAATTTTGACTTAATCTTTCTTTATAGTGATTCTCAAATTCAGGGATGTGGTGTGAATTCTCAGAATGCGAAGTCTTGTCCCCTTGTGTACTCCCTTCCCCTTAAGGGTGGGATCCCACAGCCTCATGCTGGAGTAAAATGGAAGAAATTCATCCTTGCATAATACTTCAGAAATAAGTTCCCTTTTCAGCAGATCACATAGTCTCAGCAATTTGTGTTAGCTCAGTTGATTCTAAAGAAGTAGACCTGAAACAGTTGCAATATCCAAATAAGATGATAATTCTGAACACATCCTGTTAATTTCAGAGGATAAATTGAAGTTCTGTAAGTAATTGGAGTCTAAATGTTTTTTTCTTGAAATTATATGTGCCAAGAACAACTGTACCTCTAAATTCCTGAAAACTAAAACCACTGTAGACCTTATTGATCTGCTGTACTGTTTTCTGCCCCCTTTCCTCCCTCCCTGTCTCCAGTATTGTGCATCAGCCCCTTCTCCTGGCCCCTGTAGCTCACCAGCCTCTGCACAGCGCTCCATAAGCACACAGTCTAAGGCAAGTGGACCTGCAGCTGAATGGAAGTCACTGTGTTGGTAGTCTGACAACTCACTGCTGTTGTCTTCTTGGCTGAGAATCTTGGAGATTCTTGGAGAGATTGGCTTTCTTGGGAAAAATCAAAGGTCAAAACCTCATCCTTCTGTGTAGCTTTAAGTGCTGCGTTGTGTTCTAGCAAAACCTTGTTTTTGAGAAATTTGTCGATCCAACACAAAAGTGGCTTCACTAAATATGGTCATTTGAAGTGTTGCACCTGCATCTATACCCGCCTATTTAAATGCATTAATTGTGAAGTTAATATGAATGTCTTGACCTCTGGATATGAACTAGAATAACCTCACTTCCAGTGAATGTTCATTTGGCAAAACTCTACCCTCGTTATTGAGTCTTGCTACTTCTGGGCCATGTATGAAGGCTCAGCTATGTCCTCAGCTTCTGTTGTGTCCAAACACTCTGGGATTCTATTGACATCACCTACTTTGCATATGGGATGACTGGCATATCTTTCCAGGCATTTGAGAAATTTACCCCTCTCCTATATACAAAAATACCTAATTATGCATATGCAGCTTTTTGGGTTGGGTTTATTTTATTTGCATCCCACAGTGCAAACACACAGGTTCTAATCAAAACTATTAATTGAGTACAATTAAGTGTAGAAGTCCAGGACAATTAAGTGTTCTGTGTATCCTCAGAGTCACAGGACTCAGCACTCAATGAGCACAAGACAGAAGGACAGCTTGCCTTTGCTCTCCTACTTTACCAGCAGCTTCCGAGCTGTGGTCAAAGACCCATGCACAGACCCAATAGAACTTTTAGTCCTATAAAAGTAAACGTTTAGGACATCAGAGTGCTTTGTGCCCTGAATTACTACTTCGCCCAATGCAATTGTGCAGTACTTGCAAAGCTTCTTTGTCTTTATAGATCATGGTTTTGCAGAAGTATTACCAGGAAGAGTACTAGCATGTAACTGAGTGAGGAAACTTAAGTCAGGCACAATTATTCCACTTCACCCAACAAGCAAAGAAGATTCTGCGGCTTTATGACAGTGTTCAAAAATAAATGTGCACTTGTCACTACATTGTCCATCAGTTTTAGGCTTCGTAGTTTGAATCCACTCCTCAACTTGGCCTAGGCTTATTTTTACTCTTTATTTTTTGTGCATACTCAGCAATGATGCACACATGTATTTAACATCTCGTTTAAAATTATTAGTTGTGCTCTGGAAACTGCACATGAATTTGGGGTGATCCTAGACAATTCTACAAGTGACTGAAAAGTGGTTGTGGGAGATGGTGTGGGGGAAGGAGAGAAGGAGAGAAGCAGTGTAGGATTCTTGGGGTTTCAGACTGCTTTTATTAGGGCAGCCTTTCATAGCTTGTTGGTAAAAGTGTTTTTTTTAATGACATCTAGTGGCAGAGCTCAGAATGACAATGTTCTGGCGGGAACAGCTCTCCAGATGTTGGTAGTGACTTGGCTTTCCAGAGTTTGTGATACTGGCAGCTTGTCAGGAATGGCAGCATAGCACATCAAATCTGTACTATGCTGATTTGATTTCACCAGTGATGAAAAATCAGGGGTACAACGAGTCTCATTATTTGTCCCTTCCAAAGATAAAGCAACTATTGCCTCATAACTCAGGGGACAGAGGGTGTTAAGGCATTTTAAAATATGGTCCTGATTATATATTTTGAATGCTTGGTATTTTTGAACCTGTGGTGAGTACAAAACTATGTTGATTATAAATCATTGCAGCCGAGTTAGTATGGGATGAGAAGCACAGAACAGCAGCTTTTGTACTAGAACCAGTGAGAAACTAAAGGATATGCTGCTGTATTTGAAGAGGTGGTTTTGGGTTTACACTGTCAATTAAATGCTGATAAGGATGCTTGCTTTGATTGCACCTGTACATCAGAATTCTCCCTTGGTTATAAAAGCAAGAAATCTCTCTACTAACTGTACCAAATGCACTCTTTTATTAAATTCACATGTAAAAAGCCTACACACAGACACACACAGGTAGATGTTCTGGGCTAACCTTAGCACAAACATTACATTTCTGCCTGTATCTTCTGGGCGTAAACTACATATTTCCATTCCAAGACATGCAGACTTTTGGTCTTGAAAATGGAAACATAATGCGACTGCAGTTTTTTTCCCAGCTGGCCACAATTGCTCCTAATCTAAAACAGGTCACTGTTCCAAAGGAGAATCTGCACAGGCCCCAGTTCTAATTTCTGGTTTTATTTATTGGTCTCTTGTGGTTGGTGAGATTAAGTGAATGGAAGGCAACAAGCAAGAACTAGCTGAGGCTTCTTTGCTTATAACTGGGCACAGCAGAAAAATCATGATCTTGATATTCCTGTTTTCAGCTTTCCCTCTAGCGTTGTGCTCAGAACGTTTTTCCTAAATTTTGCAGTTGATCAGGCATGATCACTGGAAGCCATGACATGCAGAGGAGTTCCATTAAGCTGAGTTAGACTATCCTCAGTCAGTAACAACTTGAAATAAATAAATGCCTTTTCATATGAGAAGATGACTGTATGCTTCTAGAATAGAAATCCACCTTAACTCTGGACTTTTTTAGGAAGGAAGATCAGTAACTTATTCCAGAGTATACTGTTAATTCTGATGTGTGACTTTTTTCCCAAGGCAATATTAAAGATCCTGGTCTTAGGAGGTGGAAAATCTTGAACAGGAGTGGTGATTCCTATACCACAATATCCCTTATATTCAGCAGCCATGTCTGAACTAGATGCTACCCAGGTGAACTACTATTTGGATGAAGAAAATTGCTGCGCTCTAGATGTGATTGAACTTTGCTGTGCCTTGAATGAAGCCAAGGTGTATTGCAACCCAAAAGTCCTCTGCATCATCAACCCCAGAAATCCCACGGGTCTGGGAATTTTGTTTAATGGATTGGTTTTAAGACCAATTTTTTTTTCTTTTTCATTCGTTTGACATTGCAGACAAATCCTAAATACACATTAAATGTGCAAAGCTGAATTCTAGAGCCAGTGCTCTAAGTAGGACACTATGTCGTATTTTCAGAAATATTTTTCAGTATTGTGGAACTCCAGAGAGGAGGGAGCGGGTTCACTTCACTGGATCCCATTTGAAGCCACTGCTTCCGCTGAACTTCTGCAGATGTGGAATGACTTTCAGTCACTTTTGGTCTTTATGAAAGATCTTGCCTCTGGCATGGCCTGTAGCCTTTTCTTCTGAGAGACAATGACCGTAGATGCTCTGAACTCCGTGGCAACCACTGCCTCCCTCAGAATTTAGTTTTTTGAGTAGTTGAGGTTGATCAGTGAGAAACTAGATCCCACTTACCTATCATGCATGTGAGCATTTAAAATTATAAGTTATACACAGAATACTCTTAATAAGTCATTGATTGATTACTGTATTTCACATTTCCTTTGCTTGAGATGGACTAAGTTACCTTGAACCATCATGCCTCCAAAAATGCTCCCTAATTTCATACTTGGTGAACTGAATTCTTAAGTTCAATAGCACTTTTCTGAGAAAGAGGGATATCTTGTTGAAAAGCTGGAAGTCTTACTAGGTCTGGGTGAAAAGATATATATCTAGATATATCTAGATAACTAGATATATATGCTCCACTAACTTTCTTCTTGCTTTAAAAATCAAACTATAGGACAGGTGCAAAACAGAAAGTGCATTGAAGATGTGATACACTTTGCCTGTGAAGAGAAACTTGTTCTTCTGGCTGATGAGGTAACGGAATATTTTGTTCTCTCAAAAGCACAGCTGAGAGTACCCATATGAAGTGTAATTTTGTTCCATGTGTGGTATTGGTATTTTTTAAGTACAGGGAACAGATTCTCTGTTATCGTATTAAGACATGAACAAATACTCAAGATTCTTAGTATCAAAGGATCAATGTAACAGGTGGCTTGATCTGGATTTGAACTAGAGAGAAAGTGTAGGGAACACAAGGAAGAACTTTGTTGGAACTGACCTAAAAACCTATGTGAAGCTGAGACCACTTCACATGAAAGAAACAGAAGGAAAATCAATTTAAATGTGCAAGTAAAGGTTAACTTGTATACAAAGAAGCTCACTGTTCTTCCAAAGGCTGAACCTTTAACTATGGTCACATGATATAAAGTGTATCATGACAGTAACTATTACTTAACAAAGAACCTTGTGTCTTCTAACAGCTCTTAAGTTTTGAGTGTTACCACTGTTTCTTCAGTTCAGATCTGGCTCTCTAAAAAGCCATGTTTTATCCTTAGTTGGGAGAACAGAGCACATTAATGTCTTCTGACTGTTCAGGTTTATCAGGACAATGTGTACTCTGAGGGATGCCAGTTCCATTCTTTCAAAAAGATTCTGTATGAGGTAGGGCCTGAGTACTATAACAATGTTGAGATGGCCTCTTTTCACTCCACCTCTAAGGGATACATGGGCAGGTAAGTCTGATTTAGTTTTTTTGATTTCATCTTCCTCATTAATCTGGTTGGACAGCCCTTTCGTGTTACTGACCTGAAAGTAATCCACCATCTTCTATGAATTTTAACTAAAAACTATCAAGAAAAGGAAAAAAGGATTTAAAACACAAAGTAATGGATTAGCTCTGTGGTTTTCAAAGTACCAAATAATAAGCACATTTATTTCAGACACCTAATGCCTCAGTTCCACAGAGATGAAATCCTACAGTCCCAGTCTGGACCTGTGATAATGGAAAATTAGTCTCTAACATTCAGATGAACAGATCAATAATTGCTGGGATGTCTGATGCTGTAAATGTTTGGGTTTGGTAGTTTTGGGGAGGAGGAGATAGAAGAAAAAGAATTCTGATGAAATATGTGCTACTACACCCATGAAGATTAAACAATCCATGTTAACTCACCTGACAGGGAAGCTGCATGTACACCTTTATCTCTGTATGGGATACTAGGACTTAGTGGCATCCCATGTAGTTCCATCTTAAACCACTATCAATGTAACAGCTGTTTCAACAATCTGCATCTTACATATTGTAAGATTCTCATTAATTGTCTGTCCTCTTCTGCAGTCACTTTCGTTGCTTTCCCAGTATTTATACACTCGAGGTTGACCAATCTTTTCTGTTCACTTTGTCACAGAGGCTACAGAGGACGTTATGTGGAGGTCATTTACTTGCACCCAGAAATTAAAGGACAACTTGTTAAGCTGCTTTCTGCTCGCCTTTGTGCCCAAGTCTCAGGACAAGCAGCAATGGATATTGTAGTGAGTCCTCCAATACCTGGAGAAGAATCTTATGCACAGTTCATAGAGGTCAGCAATAACATGCTTGTTCTTTTGTACATTTCCTAAACCTGTCCTAAGTATTGGGAACTCAAAATATTCACAGAGACAAGTCCTCTTTCATTTCTCCTCAGACAATGCTGTAATAACACAAGTTTACAGAACTATGAGGTGTATTTAAAATTAATTCAATATGACTACATTTAAAAATACTAAGGAGCCATTATCAAATCAGTTTTCTTGCCAATAAAATCAGCTTTTCTCCTGCGTTTAATATGACAAAAGGATTACTAAATAAGATCTGCTCTTACTAAGATCTAACGAGGAATGTAAGTTGAAATACAGTTATAAAATCAGCCTTGTTCTTAGGTATCTAGTGCCTGTGTACACTGAGCAATGTGGTAATCTGTGTTAAAGTATACACATAGTTTCTCACTGGTAAAAAGAAAACTGAGTCTGGCTTAAGAAATTACGTTATCGAGTCAGATCAAAGGTTCAGCCAATGTGGTCTCTAAAAACAGCCAAGAGTGGATGCTCAGAAGGAAGAATGTAAGAAGGCACACAGATAGAGACCTCTGCATGTTTTTGTCTGTCTGCAACACTTTGTAGTTGTATCCTGCTAATGCCTTTTTGCACTGCTGCCTTTAAGAGCAAAATTGGAATTTGGAACATTTTTTGCTCTAATAACAAAGCCCTAAAAGTGTTTAATCTGGGGAAGCCTCTTGAAGCATCATAGTTTCCTCTGGAGGTTTTGTTGCCACTTCAAATGTGTCCAACTGAACACCTTCCTTTTAAACAGGAGAAAGAGTCTGTTTTGAACAATCTTGCCAAAAAAGCCATACTAACAGAAGACATGTTTAACAAGATACCAGGCATTCACTGCAATCCTCTTCAAGGAGCTATGTATGCTTTCCCACGGATCTTTATTCCTTCCAAAGCCATTGAGGAAGCAAAGGTCAGTCAGTTACTTTTACCTCAATTAATTTTAACCTTCACTGGCCTGTGCCTGCCACTTCTAATGGTGAGTTTTTATTCCAGAGACAGAGTAAGGTCATGTAGTTACAAAAGCAGTACTTCATAGAATACATCTTAAATATAACGTGACCTTTATTTTAAGAGAGGAAAACAAAGCAGAGCATTTCATCACAGAGGTGAGGCTTTCAGGGTGAGAGTGTTCCCAAGGACATTGGTGTTTAAGTCATACAAGTAGCTGGACCTGTGCAATTCCAAATTGCTGCCCCTGCCTGGGTTAGGGAGGCAGTGGATTGGGAATGGCAGTGTGCTACTGACCCTGCAAAAGAAGCCCCACTCAGCAAGTCTGGGAAAGAGGGAGGAAGGTTTCCTTACAAATTTTACCTTTTTACATTTGGGTCAGTAACCTCTATTACTAAATAACAAATCTTTCTGTTCCTAACTAAAGCTCTGAAACCTGATGTGTAATACTAATTTTTTAAAGGGAATTTTATCAGCACAGCTGAGAAAAAAAATAGGGCTGTTTTTCAGTTGCTTATTTGATTAGGTTTATAACGTGCATGTATTTAAGAACTTTCCAGGGGACTTCCTAATCAGCAGATAATTCAGGGGGGAAAAATAGTAACTGCCAACAGAACTGGAACACACAGTTCTCAAATTAATTTAATCTTATCAAATGTCAGTGCCTTAGATTTTTCTAAGTACAATTTTGAGACTTTTGACAAAAAGTTACAAGCAAGTCGAGGAGATTAACAACATTACCTAAACCCTTTCTTTTGAAGTGAGTGTTTTGTGTAGGTTCTTCAGCCCTGTTCCTCCATGAAGTACTGTTATTTAATTCACAGTGTGAACTTGTGAACTGTCCCATTAGTAATTGTTCCTCACCTTCTTTAGTAAATAGAATAAGGAACTAATAATGTAAGATAAGGTTTCAGGGGAAAAAAAAGAATCATGAAATTCTGTATATTTGGGAATATTTTCACTTCAATAATTCCAAAGCATCCATTTTCTTAGGCTCATAAAGTGGCACCTAATATGTTCTATTGCATGAAACTTCTGGAAGAGACTGGAATATGTGTTGTACCTGGAAGTGGATCTGGCCAGAGAGAAGGAACCCACCATTTCAGGTACAGTTTCTGCTTGTTTGAAATCAAATTAACAGTAATAAGCAAAGTACCATCCAAGTACTTTCTCTTTTGATTAAATACAAGGATTTTTATTTCAGTGTGCATTGTCTCACTTTAAACCGGACAGTTTCTGTGGTCTGACATCTAGGCCAAAGACCTCGTCTGCTAGATGAGCTATTCAGGTTTTTGTGGTGTTTTCATAGCTTGCTGACATAATTTTATTCTATTTTTATACACTGGCATTTGAAATACCTTCTCCAGGAATACAAACAATAATAATAGCTTAGACTTTAATCTTAAAATTGGCTATAGAATTACAAAAATTGCTCTGCATTCTTTGAGAGGAGGGGGGATTAAACAGTGTTTCCATATGAAGAAACTGCATTAAAAGTGCAGTATTTTCCCTATAGAACTGCTCCTTAAAAACACTAAATAACTTCACTTTACCAAAACAAGATGTTGAGCTAAATAATCTGATACCAAAACTGTGAACATAAACTCGGTTGCTTTTGTTTCCAATAGGCGGCACTTCACTCCAGCCAAGCCACTGATAGCTGGAATTTATCATGGAATTTAGTCTTCTTCAATCTGAAAAAATATAACAGAGGGTATCTTTAGCCTTGGTAGTTCTGCAACACAGCCAGCTGGGTGAGATATCTGGGTACATGCAGCTCCAGGAAAAGCCAGTGAGTCCATTCCTGCACCAGTGTGGGAAAAACACTCTGTTCTGTAGGTCTTGCACACAATCTGCCGTAAATACTCCATGGGATTTTCATATCATGCAGGAGAAGGAAAAAAGGGACTAAAAACTGCGGAGTGGGATGTTGCATTGTTTTAATACGTCTGAATTCAGCCCACTCCTAAAGCTCTAAAAGCTTGGTATAATTTGGCATAACTGCCCAACTATGGAAATCAAGTTACTTACTGATGACCTTCTTTACCACTCAATAGAAAATAACAATTCTTGAATTCCTATGAACTAACCAATTGAAACAAATTGCTCTAGTTTAATAGTATAGTTCAATTAAAGTATAAATGCATGAAATAAGAGAATCACATCAAAACAAGTATTAACCTTAACATAGTACTTGATGTGCCCTGAGATTAATCAAGGTCTGGGCAAAGATCACAGTTTAGTTTGTTCTGCAGATAATGTGGATTGGTTTTTTTCTTTCTTTAAATATTATTTTTCGAATGACCATTCTTCCTCCAGTAGAGAAGCTGAAGATCGTACTGGAGAAAGTGAAAGACTTCCACGTAAAGTTTCTTGAAAAACATGAAACTACTGTGGCTTTTTCCCCCTCATCCCCTCCCCTTCAAAGCAAATGAAAGCAGTGAACAAAGATGTGCTGAGAATGTGCTGTTCATGTAATTTAACTAAATTCAAAACAGATAGAACCAGTCTCAGATACTGCTACAACTTATTGGACTATTAACGTTAATGTCTCATATAGAAGACATTTTTTTAAGGGGAAGAATGTGAAGAAAGTGGTGAGAAGAAAGACTCAGTAAATGGTTTTGTGCCTTGATTGGAAGTTACATTGTGGACTTTTGACTCAATAGGTTGGGAAAGGGAATTGCTCATTAAAATTATTACTGTTATGTGGGTTTTTTTTACCAAACGGAAATGCCAAGATAAATTGTTTAGGATGTTTCCCATCCTAAAATTCTACTAAACAAAAATTCAGGCCCCTACATTATAGGTATTGTTTGGTTTAATTTTTGTTGTTGTTAAGTATGAAGTCTTCTCCAAATCTGATTAAGGATGTAGGTACATCATGCTTATTTAAAAAAAGTCTTTGGCACATGTGTGCAGATACCTCTGAAATTCTGCTAAAAATAAATCCTGCCAGCACAGCATAATCAAAATGGAATATACAGTTTTGACCAGAGGAGTGAATGCAGTGTCTGCTTGAACCCTATTTTTATGAAGCTGAAACATAATGAGGAATATAATCTCCTTCTTCATGTGCTTTCAACACAAAATCCCAGCACAAGAGTGCTGAACATTTCCTCTCATAACAACTCCACGAGTCTCCTGTTAACTCACTTCTTTTATACACATGGAACATAGTAAAGTAGTGTTTCAAAGCAGATGAGAGCACAGTCAGTCCTTTCAGGTGGGCTGAAACATAACACACTTCCAGAACCGCTCTGTCTATGGAGAACATTTGTTTGGAAACACATGAGGGAGACCCACGGTGTGGCCAAAATCCAGCTTGAACTGGCAAAGACTAACACATGTTACCAGGGGAAATGCTGGGGGGGATTTCTAATGAAGGAAAAGGTCTTTAAAGGAAAATGTCTTGCACCAAGCATAAAGAGAATGATAGTACAGCTGACACTTAAATCTTCCACAGTCATGCCACTGGCTGAATGACCCTGAGTGCTTATTAAAGCCTGGCTCAACAAGGTTGCTATCTAGGAGTACAGCTGTATGACTCCACTAATCTATGCCAGTTTCCCTGCAAAACAAAGGACAGCTTCTGTTTCTCTAGAGCTGGAAGCTGGACACCTCCTGCTAGCTCTGATAAAGGCTGAAGGAACAGAGCTTCCAGTATTCAGATGTGAAAGCATTAGCATTTGTCAGGCTTTGCCTCAGCATTTACAGAGTTTATTCACTAAGATATCACATTTAATCCAGTCATTAATTTTAAGTTATTATTTAGAAGTAAACTCATTTTCATGTCTATTAGCACTTTGTTAGGCTGCCTTTATAGCTGTTTCAGCATCCTCTGCTGGTCCAAGTTACTAAAGCCAAGGCCTACAGAATCACCATAGGGATGAACCTGTGCCAATTTATTATGTGTGGAAGACGAGATATTCCCAATAACTGTCCTTGCAAGAGCAGCTACCAGTATGATACAGTGTTAATAGTGGGTGTGCTTCTCACAGTTCCTTACTGAAGTCTGTGAGAAGAATTTAGTCCCTGTCAGTCACCTGCTGGTGGTCCCAGGTGCTACACAGAGTGACTGTGGAGGCCTGGAGAAAAATCATCCACTTATCCTTGGAGAAATGCACCTGTGGGAGGACAGCAGACTGAGAATATTTATACTGCTGCTGTCCATTGATAAATACAACCTTTTATCTGTTGGCGTCCTTAATGTGCATTAATGAAACAAATCCAGAAAGCAAAACCGTAGCAGGAGATCAGAATATTGATGTAAAAATAAGACAAGCAGCACTTTCCCATTCTAGGAATGTGTCCAAATGAGATCTGGCTTTGGACTTGTAAAGCAGTGTAGATTGAAAATAAGACCTAATGGTGGGAGTTAGGGTATTTTTTTATATATTTTTGTAACTACAGCTTTTTCATGGGGTAGTATTTGTAATCTAATAAGTCAGTAGATTTTATATTTACCTTGCATTTGCACCTCATACTTCTGGAAAAAAATGTATATGTTTACAGGTTTCTAATTTACAGATATTTATACATAATTTAAGATAATTTACAGGTGTGAAAGGCTTTTTGTTTTGTTGAGACAGCAATTCTTACACTTTTAAATCAAAATGTAATGACATAAACTGAGTTTTTTCTAAACATTCTATTAAGGTACCTTTTATGTCTGTGACATTATAAGGGATAACAATTTTTTCTTGATGCATCTCATGTGGAAGGGTGGTGATTTCTACTGTCCATCCACAATATTTATATGTATTATGATAAGGTTAATGTGCATTTTTGTGGAACAATCCTGTAAAGCTAAGAAAAGAGGCTTTATTTTCCATGTCTTTGAAATCTTTAATTAATGAGAGACAATCCTTACTTTCAAATGCATGCTTCTAGGTTTGATCTTCCTACAGGTGCTCCAGTACTTCAGATGTATGAGACTTCCAAATAATAAAGCACATTTAAAAAAGGTAATAGTTCCCTGTTTCCTATGTCACTGAAGCAATACCAGCTGGATTGCACTATGACACATTAACCCCATGTTCAAACCAGTATTTACTAGTATTTAGTATCCATGTACCAGATCATTAATCTCTGCATCACTTCAATTTATGGACTTGAAATTTGTCCAACTGGTTACCACAAAAATATTTCCTACCATTGCAGAACTGCAAATAGAGATGGTCTTGGGCAAATTCATGCTCATAGTAATCATATAATGTAAGGAATTAGGCAGGAGTTAGGCAAGCCAGACTTCTTTCTTTATAGAGAGGATCAGCTAGTCAGTTGAGGCTGATCAACTGTGTCATGAAAGCTTTGGTGTTTGTTTGATATTGTTGGTTGTTCCCTTTTAAAAAAAAATTCTTACATGGTTTATATGAGATTAAATTTACAGAGCAACACAATCTTGTCTTTTTGCAGTGACACCTCTACAGTTACTTTAGTGGTGCTTGATAATTCCAAAGAATATGAAGTTTAGGGAAAGGAAAATTAGTCCTGCTTCCCTAAACATATATGCCCATGCCAGCACTACTAAAAATGCCCCCAAAGCAGGCTATTCTTTTCTTTTTATCTGGTATTTGAGTGTTTTCTGGAACAGAAACATTTACCTCCCTTTTTTCTTTTTTGGGCAGGAGGGAGGTATGTTGTTTGTTTTACAAATAAGAACATGATATAAAATGCTTATGAGTTATCAGTCAGATTTTTTACAGCTTTTTTTTCAGTGACATAGGCTGTCCCATCTGGCTCAGGAGATAAGGATACTGTGCCAGATGCGTATGATACAGAAAAAACTACTACAGAGAGCTTGCAGCATCAACTATATACACTGTGTGAAAACCACTAGTGTTTTAAAATATTGTCTAAATTCCTTTTTATACAGTTCCTTGGTCAAATTTGTACAAAACCCAAGATGCTCATATCTCTGGCATGATTTTTTATTTGGATGCATGTAAGATAATAGGTTTTTTCAAGGGATTCTACTTTTAAGGATATGGATTTGAATATTCAATAGTAGGTGTAGTCATGGCTTTCTAATGTTCCACTTTATTACATGTTCATTAAATCCTGTGTTCACGTGATTAGCATTTACACAACCTGTAACCATTTGCGTGAGGCAGAACAGGTTATTCACTTTCCTAGCTTTGAAGCTTTGCATATTCTGCATGCTGAACAGCAGTGAAGTATCTAAACCCAAACCTCGGCTCTAAAATAGGGCAGAAAGGTTTCCCTGTCGAGCAGAAAGGTTTCCCAGTACCTGGTCCAAGCCCTGGCAGCACATCCACTGCCTGCCCCAGGCCCTGGATACCCTCTGGCCTTGGTCACTTCTCATCAGGGATGGAAGCACTCCCTCCTCGTGTGCTCAGATTTGCAGTGGTTGCTTTAAACAAGTAACAAAACAGCACAGTTAATTTGTTCCACCAGGACCAAGCTGTGTGTGTGTGAGCCTGCCCAGCTCCTGTCAGGGCACGAGGGTCATAGGATGTTAAGGGGTTGGAAGGGACCTTAAAGGCTCTAGTCCCAACCCCCTGCCATGTACAGGGACATCTTCCACTAGACCAGGTTGCTCAAGGCCTTATCCAACTTGGCCTTGAGCAGTGTCAGGGGTGGGGCATCCACAAGCTCCCTGGCCAACCTGTGCCAGTGTCTAACCACCTTTACAGTGAAAAATTTCTTTGTAATATCTAACCTAAATTTCTCCTCTTTCAATTTGTACCCATTATTCCTCGTCCTATCACTACAGCACAGTATAGGATAGGATAGGCTTTGTGCCTCTCTGGCCATCCCTGGGGCACCACCGAGACGGGGCACCCGCAGATCCCCCTCATACCCTCGTCCCTCGCTCCGGGCCGTCCCATCCCCTCCCTGAGGGTGTGTCCGCCCCATCCCCTCCCCGAGGTGTGTCCGCCCGGCCCGCGGGCGGGGGCGGAGGGAGGGAGGATCCCCCGCTCTCCCCGCGGTCCCGGGCTCGGTTCCCGGCGGGATGGTCGCCATGCCCCTGAGGAAGCCCCCGGGCAAGCGGCACAGCTCGGACTCTGGCGTGGAGCCGGACCGCGGGGCGCTGCCCCAGGAGCGGGACCAGCGCCCCGGGCTGTCCCAGGAGAAGAAGGATCAGCGCATCGCGCTCTTCCTCAGCGACTTCGACCAGCAGGGTATGGCCGGGGGCGGAGGAGCTGCCCGGGGCGAAGCAGTGGTGGCCGCCCGCCGGCGCTTCCCTGCCCGGGATGGGTGGAGGGAACAGCGGCTCCCGGCGGGAAGAGCCCCCGGGCCGGCACCGCGGTCCTCCTTCCCCGGAGTGGCTGGTAGCCTGCGCTTCGACTCCCAATCGGATTTCTCCCGATAAAACGTTGTTTTAACTTTCTTGTTTAATGCGATCTTCCAGAGCTTATACTTGGAAATATGTAACGTGCATGGCAATAAAAGCCTGTTTTGTTTTGAAGCCAAGGAGCACGTCCAGGAGATGAAGAAGGAGCTCGATGCGCTGTTGCAAACAGCTGAGAAGGCGTTTGCAGTGGAGCTGCTGACGATGCCGGCTGCCATCAGGAAAATGAAAAGGAAAGACTTGCTCAGTAAGTGTGCGTGGCCCTGTCCTTTCGAGGGGTGCGGACAGGATTAGGGCAGGATGTGTCTGTGACTGGTATGAGAAAACCTGTAAACTTGGGGACTTTTATGAACAAGTTTGCTTTGTCTGGTGAGTATTTTAAGCTAATCAGCAGACCTGTTCCCCTGCAGATGCTCACTGAGCACTCTTGTTCAAATAGGCTGATATGTGTAAAACAGGGGGTAGAATTAGTGTGTGTATAGAGTCTGGAGGGTTTTATGTGTGCTCTTAAGTAGTCTCATTTTAAGTCTGAAGAGACAAGGAATAATTACAAACCTAGTGTTTTCTGTGCATGAAAACGTAAGTGCTACTGTCCATCTGACTCTGTTAATCCCAGCAACAGAGATTTTTTTTGTGTTTCTCAGTTTGAAGTCTTTTACTACTGAGCAAGCAAGCTTAATTTTAACTCTCCTTTATGCAGCAGTTTAAGATGTGGTATACACTCAGCCTCAGATATATATTCTGGTGAGAACTGACGTTTTTGGAATCTACCTTGCACCTGGAAATTGCAGGGGCCACACAAAGATCAAACTTAAGGCTCTTGATGAACTTGAGTTTACCATAAGCCTGAGTATGTATTTCAGTTCTTTTCTTGAGAAATTTCTACCTAAAAGCATTAGCTTTCTGCAGTACAATGTGTGTGTGTGGTTCTTCTTGGAATTTAAGTTATATACTATGTGACTACACTCAGTATCCTTTCAGAGAATTAACATACTGAAATTTTCATGGTTTTATAGGATGACTGTTGTTCTACAAGACTTGAATCTTGTTCCAATGCAACATGTATGCTAACTAAGGTTAACTATTTAAGCCACTGTAATCCTGAATTACTTGTTCTGCTTCATAGGCCGTAAGATAAAAACTTGAAGATAAAAATTTTGCAAGTAATAGTATCTAAACAAGTTACACTTTCTTGAGTTACAGATTTGCAAGGAAGGGAGGAAGTGGCTCTTGCTGCTGCAGTGGTAAGTGTGTTTTCAAATTTTATCACATTTTACAGAATAGAATTCTTCTCTCCCCGCTGTAAATGTTTCAGACAAAATATTTTGTTTGGCTGTGTGTTTAAATAGAAGATGATGTGAAAAGACTAGACAGCCAGTCACAGTGCAGTTATGAACATTACCTAAATTTTAAGGTCATCTGTTGGCAGAAATCCAGATGTTTCTGAAAAAATAAACTGGTGTTTAGCCAATCCCACTTCTGTCACTTGCTTTCATGTGCTTCTGTAACATAATATTCATCTACTGGGCAAAATCTGTTGACCTTTCCTTGTTGTATAAACACTTTTTTTTTAGACTGACTGCTCTCTAGAAGACATACCAAATCCAAAACTGGTGAGGACCAACAGCAAAAAAGGCAAGTCAATCCATTAATACATAGCTTGTGGTTCTTAAATTTTATTTTTTTTAATTGGTTTGAACTGAGCATTTGTAAAGGGAATGTTAAGCCTGAAGAATACAAGAGGGGAAAGTGTATAACAGTTCCCCCCAGCATTCAGTGTGGAGGATCACGAGTTATGCCACTGTTGGGGTACTTTAAAGGATAAGAGATCCTGCCCTTCGGATTTATCACTGAAAATGGTGAGAAGAGACAGATTTAAGTGACTTGTTAGTGCTTTACAGTATAGCAGAAGAGCTACGAAAGTCACCCCTCTTTTCTTGCTTCCCCTTTGACCTTCTGCCCACCGAGCTTTTCTTCACATCCCAATATATGCAATAAGGAGGACACTGATACCTAAATCTGTTTTGTCTGGGAGTTAAGGGATTATCTGGTATCTTTTAGCTGCCCTGTGTGTCCCAGTGTCTGTGAGGAACAGAGACAGTTTGTTTTGAAGTGTGTCCCAGGTGAATGACCACTGTGGAGCAGCAGGGATATGTAACTGTCAGTGGGGAAACAGGCTTTTAACACAAGTCTGAAGTGGTGTTTTGTGCTCTTCATGAGATTTTTATTTTCCTTGTCTTGCTAATACATTTCTAGTTAAGGTAACTACAATTGTCGAATATGAAGATGCCAAGCACAGTTCTGCAAAGAAAGTAACAAAAAAAGTAAGTCTATTTTTTCTTTATATTCAAAAAACATAAGGGGTTAGTCAGTTTTGACCTGCCATGAACCTTGCCAGATCCATGACCAGGCAGGCCAGTGAACTGCTGTTTTTTTGAAAAATCAGTTGTTTTAAATTTAACATATTTGAAGTTAAGCAAAGCTAAACAGTTTAGTAAATCATTTTCATAATGAAATATAGTATCTGCACTTCTAGTGACTAATTCACACACACTTGCAAATACTGGCATAGTCATTCTCTCTTGAGTTGTCAATAAGTCTTGAAGCTTTGAGAAACTATTTTTGTTGAAACTTATTTTTTAAAAAAACCTACCTGTTTTAATTAATTCTTTTCTATATTTGAATGACTTGTGCATTCTCTCCATCTTGATCTCTAAACCAAATCAAGTATTAATTTTACCACCTCAGTCAGTCTGTGCAAAGTAGCTCCTCAGCCAGACACTGAAATATGTAGCAAGATAACAACAAAGACAAAAAAGATTCTGTGCAGAGTTACAGGCATTAGTTATAAGGTTTAAAAGTTGGAAGGTGTATATATGAGACAGGGGGTTGGTTGTACAGAACTTCAGTATGAATACATTTTGACAGTATGAAACTCCTTTTAGAATGCATATTTGCCATTTTATATATATGTAGAACTGTATAAAAGGCAGCACCGTGGGGCTTAACTGCTCTTTTTCAACAGGGAATTCTTACAGTATTGTTTCCTGCAAATACCTATCATTTTGCTTTCAAATGCCACTTCTTTTAACTGCAGTCTTACATTTTCAGATTTCCAAAACCAAGTCGTTGGTTTCATTGGGCTCTGGTTTAAATAGCAAACTGAACCCTCTTTCTAGGTAAGACTGACCTTTGATAGCTTATTTAACTCACCTGAACTTCTGAATGCTGAATAAAATTATTTTCAACTAAAGTAGCTGATATTTGAGCCCAACAGGAATACATCTGATAAGGATGTCTTCCCTGAGTGAGTGAGATGCACTGTGGTTTTGTGAACCCTGGACAAAAAAGCATCTCTAGCTGATGAAGACATGGAGTTGTATCTCTCACTGAATGGTGCAGAACTCTGAACTTAGGGAATCAGTATAGATTTGCAAACAATACTTAATGGAAGAGAACATGTAAGGAAAGCATCTTTGCTCTGTTAGGACTAATAAATTGTTCTGTAATAAACACTCAGTTTGGTTATTACAGCCCTCTCTTATCTACTGACATCAATTAATTCTTCCTGTATGTTGTTAGGTCCCACGAAACCATGTTTACCTCAGGAGGGCTTTTTCACATGTGTATACACTAGATGTTTGTCCTGGAGCACTCCCTAATCCATTCTCTAATCCACTGTCTGTCTATCTTCATCCCAGCTAAAACTCCACATTAGAAGTAGATGAGGAGGAATAAATAAAAATAATAATAAAACAAGAACAAACAAACAAAAAAACCCAAACAAAATACAAAACTGATGACTACTTTTTTTTTGAATGTGTTAACATCCTTCTGCAAGTCACACTTGCAGAAGAGTAAAGTCTCTTACTTCTCATTGCAGTGCCACAAATCTCAGAGCCACTCCAAAGGTACCCAACAGGTAAGGGGTTTTTGACTTGTTCTTAATAAATAATTTTGTTAAATACCACAGAATTTCACAGAATATTCTGAGTTGGAAGGGACCCACAGGGATCATGGAGTCCAATTCTTAAGTGAATGGCCCACACAGGGATTAAACCCATAGCCTTGGCATTATTAGCATCATGCTCTAATCAGCTGAGCCAAGACACTATATATCTACATTATTATCAATCTAGATATTAATCATCATCAATCCACATGTAACAGATCTTCATGGTCTGCCCTTAAATTTGACAGTGGGGATGTGAACCAGCTACACCTCCTGCTTTGAGTGTGGCTGTTAACTTGCACTCTCATGGAGGCACACGATTTGATGTCCTAACTAAAGTTAGTTTAAAAAAAATGCATTGAGTATAAATTTTATTCTCACTATTTAAGGGTTTACAGCTCAAACTTGTTCTCAGAGCCCAGCTTTGATTAAACTGTCACCAATATTGCTGTGTTTAAAAGAAAGTAACCCAACCCCCACAAAGCCTCCACCCAAATACATTGACAATCAGTTCTTTGCATATTGAACAGTTAAGATTTTCAGTTAATATCATTCTCCGTACACTACAGAGATTGGTTTTGGCTCAAGTCATCAGCTGAAATGAGAGGATGAATAACTGAAATGGGTCCTAAAACCAGCAACTGGCTCAGTTTCACCTTGGCCTGATAAAAATGTCAAAGGCTTGTTTCCATGTAGAACATACCCATTTTTTAGGCAGAGTAAGAACAATTGTGTAATGAAAGCTTAGGAATTCTGTATGGCACAAGGTATGCCCTGTACCTCTGAGAGCAAGCAGCTTTGGTATTACTGATCTCTCCCTCTGTAGTAGACAGATACAGTCTTATCTTGAGCCCTGAGGCATGAAGTTTCCTCTTTCCCAAGCTGTAAACATTCAGTGCTGGTATTGGAGAGTGGATATTCTTGTTACTGAGTGGTCCAAATGTCAGCTTGCTCCCTGGCCTGTAACAGGCTCAGAAGGTTACTGCAGAGTCAGGGGCATAAAACGTTACCCAGTGAATGCTGCTGATGGTTGGATTTCCTGGAGTCTTGTGGCAGAACTGGACAAATTTAAAGCTGACTGCCTTTCCCTTAGGTGTATTTCCTACTACTTGGATTTGACTGAAAATTTCCAACACAGCATAGGAAGTTAGTTAACCTCAGAGTAACATCTTTATTGTTTTCTAGTGCTGGATTACAACAGACTGTCTCAAGAACTTTACCTACCCGTGGAAGAGTTCAAGGCATGTTAAAAAGAAGTAAATCAGTACCCCAGAATAAACCAGTTCCATTTGTAAACATTCCTCTGGCTGATGGACAGGTATATATTTTTTTAAACATTTCCAACTTACAGCAGTTATCAACGTGAATACTCATAGTGACAGCTCTTGCTATTCCTGAATGAGATGCTGCTAAACAAAATGAAAAATGGTTGCCAAAATTTTGCAGTGTAGCAGGGAAGCACATGATTTTCAGAGAAGCTGGGCATGAGAGTAAAAACTTTCAGAGTAACTTTTAAAACTGTTTCTCTTCACATTTAGACACTCTGTACAGCTGGTGGAGACCTCCGTAATATTGATGTGCAACTACTAAATCAGGATACAGTACAGCACATTCATAACTTGGTGGTAAGCTTAAACTAGTAGGCTTAGACTAGTAGACACCTAGTCCTGAGTTTTCATGTGAGATACTCTCATGAATGCAAATTCTAAGTGCTTTAACTCTTTGGAGGTTAAGCCTAAATGGGTTGGCATAAACTGGGAGGGAGGAAGAGGGAGAGAACTGCTGCACATGGACCACGTGTGAGAGCAAATGCCCTTAAAAAAGCATGTGCAGTTTGGTAACGGCCTGGGGGACCACAGAGCATAAACTCTTCCTTCTACACTGCTCTGGTGTCTCTCCTACCATGTGAGCAAAGTGCCATTCTCTTATCTCATATTCAGAGGCTGACAAAGCTACAGCCAAGTTTTGATCCTTGTTATAATCTAGCATTCTGTGTCCCTTGCTTAGTAAGTTAATTCTCTGCTGCAATTGAATAGGAACTGCCTTACCTCTGATTCAGGGAGGTAAATGGTTTTGAAGCAAAAGGAAGTGGAGCAGAAACTTTGTAGCACACAGTGCCCCACTCTTCTGAAGATGAGGGTACCTGGGTATTGTTTGAAGTAATGGAAATCCATCCAGACATAAGAAATATTAACCAGTTCACAGTTGTGCAGGTATTGAGACTTCAGTGCAGATGTCTGAGTTAAGGGTCTGGAAGATGTTCTGTTATTTTATAACATGGCTCTGCCTCTGTAGGCAGACAGTGGGGGAGGGAGTGAGGATTCACTACTTGTTTTAGCAAGAGCAACTTTTTCTTCTTCCAAGATCTGTTGGGTGGCTTGAACTAAAATGATTTTTCCCCCCCTTAGAGTGAGCTGACTGTACTGTGTGGAAAGGCAACAGCTAAACCAAGTTAATGGAACTGTCTTGTGCCCACAGGATATTGGTGACAGCTCTTGCATGCTGCCTCTGAAGTGTTTAGATAATGTTTGTTATGTCTTAATAAAGCTGTATAGCGCCCAGTAAATGTTTTTGTAAGCTTTTATATCATGTGATGTGTCTTATTAAGTTCCTGTTATCTCTGTGAAGGATACCGAGCAGAAGAAAATGCTACTTTTTCAATTTCTCTATAAAAGACTTAGTTAACACACCTCTGTGGGTCCCTCACCATTTTGATGCTGCTGGCAAGAGCCTAAATTAATGCCATCTCAGGACTCGAAGAGAACTAGCTGAGAATACATTGATCAACTCCTCCTCCACCTTCCACTTCAGCACCCTATCTGAAATCCCTTCCTCTCTTCCCCCTCAAAAAAGCCATCTGAAAGGAGATTAAAAGTTTAGAATATTACTCTATTTTTCAAAGTGTATCTTAAAGCTACTACTTAAAACCAGAAGACAGGTGTTGTAATTGTTTAAGCATTACAGGTTAAAGTGATTGACTTCTTGGAGAAATTAGTCGGGAGAAAGGATCAGCATGTAACCATGGCTTCACAAAAAGCAACACAAAGTTTTAATAAATGAAAATAAAAGATCCACCAGAGAATGCCACAGCATAAGTCAATACTGAAATACAGATCAAACAGTATTTATTTTTGCTTCATTTTTAGAGTCTATAACAAGGATGTTCAGCAACACTCAAATGCCAATGCCTACCCAAGCACATGGAAACCCCTGGAGTTTGTCCCTCCAACCTCATTGGTAAAATGTCAACAACTATCAGAGCAATAACTAAACAAGTCACACTTCAGATTTGTAAAGAAAAGTAGAGCTTCAACTTTCTCACTTAAACAGGGAGAGAAACCTTGCTATAGAGAGACAGCTTACCAACCCAACATTGTTCATGCACAACATTCCTTAATTAAGGTCACATTTTTGCCTTATTGGGGCATTTTTACCAATTCAAAATAACAGAACTGAAGCTGGAGAACTTAATATCTTCATAATTAAAACAAAGTGCAAACTACTAAAAAAGTAACAAAACCATCTACATTTATGATGTTTCCAGGTCAAACATTTTTTTTTTTAAACTGGAAACATTTCTCTAGGAAGTGAGGCTGAATCAGGCTTTGAGTAGGATTCAAAGGCTAAAAGAAAAACACCATTATTTCAGAATATAATCATCCCCATTTAAATGTTTTCTTATCTTCAAACTGAATTCGGATATCCTTGTGTTTTCTTCACACAAAGGGGACGTGGCTGCAACCTTCCCTGTGCCCATTTAGTCAAGTTTCATTTCAGGAAAAGACTTTTATGTGGCACACAATTGTTACCTAACCTTAGCTTAGTCTTAAAGCAGCTTCAGCCTCCCTGTGTTTACAAAATGTCTATCATCTACATAGTCTCCTCATACACAGACTAGTTAAAGCCACTGGAAAAGTAAGAGTTACAAGGCAAAAGAAATATATTATACACCAACTGCTTTTATTTAATTTCAGAAACCGTTCACAAGATGGTAGAAAAAACTTACAACCACTTCTAGTTCATTCTTTCATTGTTCCCAGTCAGCTCTAAACCCATTATGTGCAAAGCCCATTTATTACCATGCATCTAGATGATAGATACAGGCTATGAAATTCTTGATTCTACTTGTAGCAGCTTATGCAGGTGCAGCCAAATACCAAGCCTCAGGACAAATTGTACACAAACTTTACAATGTAGAATTTGAATTTAAAATATGAAACTTAAAATCTACACAAAACTGATAAAAATCAAGCACAGATACGAGGACAAACTTAAAACCCATGTGAAAAGGAGTCTTGTCTTCCTTTCAAGTGCTTTATTCTGCTACACAGTCAAAATGAAGATGTAAGCTTGTGGTTAGTTTAAATTACACTCTGTAGATACTATAGACCAATTTAAAAGTTACACATACAGCAATAGATGTCCATTGGTTCATCTGGATTACTTATACAATCCAGCTGGATTGTTGAAAACAAGTCAGGCAAAATTTGAAAGAAAATCCTTGTGCAACTTTTTAGACAAATGTTTACTGATGGGCACACTGTACCCCAGGTCCATGATGGCTGCTTTCTTCGTCAGAACTATCATTATAAGCTTCACGTCTCTGGCCACCACCTGAACCACGAGTGGTATCAAATTCCTGAAGATCTACCTCTTCTGCATCACCAATTACATTTGGAAATTCTGGTCTAGCTGGCAGAAGATCTTCAAGTTCCTGCCCCAAGAAAAGAAATGCATTCAGTATTGCACCTACAACTGCTGTGTAAAAAGTGACCAGTTTCCCACAACTTCAAGACACCTCACAGAGCAGATCTGGTTTAGAAGTCTAAGTTGATGAAAGCCCTGAAGCACAGACTCATTTAAAAGTATTTGTGTCAATTGGAAGACACCACAGAAAGAAAACCAACTCAACATATCATCAACTGAAAGTGCAATCAGTAAATACAGTCGCACTCTGACAACTTATCACACAGCAACAGAAAGATTCTTCCTCCTGCCTTCGCCTGCGTGACATCTGCACAGCTCTTAAATAAAGGTTAATAAATTCTTATTCCAATGAGTATTTCTAAGTAACATGTTGCCCATAAAAAAGGTTAAAAGAACAATTGTACTTGCATCTAAATTTAAGCACTGAAAGCAAGCACGTGAGGTACAACACATGCCCTTGGCACACACTGTCAAATAAGACACCACAGTTAGGCATGAAAAACTACTTACCGAAAGCTTTTCTGGGCTAATCCAGTTATTTTCAGGAAACTGAACGTCAAATTTAATGTAAAGATCCCCTTTCTCAAAAGGATTGCGATACTGTGGCATTCCTTCACCTCTGACTACACGGACACAACCTGGAATTCAAAGAGAAGTAAGCTGGAGAGTGCTACTGCAGAACCATTGTCTCCACATAATTCTCTTAGTCTTCCTTGCTAAGGTTCAGTTAACAGGACAAGAATGGGATTAAGTGTTAAAGAATCACAAAAGCATAACCAAAAAAATCCTCATCAGGCCAAGCTTACCTGGTTCAATTACTTTTCCAGGAGGATATTTAACCACAATTTGACGTCCATCAAGGTGCTTAAATGTGAACTGAAACCCACACAGTGCTTCAACAAGTCCAATCTTGTGTGTCATATGCAAATCATTCACATCTCGCTGGAACACCTGAAAAATAAAAATGGATGTCTTTTCTAGTCCTATAATCATAACTCCACCAGGCTCGTTATTTAATAAGTTCATTATTATTTATCCTTAAAATTCAATGTTAGAGCAACAGCCTTTGTGTAAGTTAACTTGATTCTGTTAATTCAGACAGCTTAACGTGCTTGGAAAGTTTGTTTCTGACACAAGTGTCATCTAAGATAAGGCAAACCACACTACATACTACTATGAGCTAAGGTTCAAATTAAACAAAGCCTGTATAGCAGCACTGCTCTTTTGCCCCCAACATCTTCCACATAGCAACATATCAACAAAAGTTACCGCAGCACTTCCCCTGCACTTGAGTATATAAACCACATCTTTGTTTCTCAACTTTTATGTTGTCATCATGCATATCTACTTTAGCAAACTGGATCTACAGCAGGACTTCAATCAGTTAGTCCACAGCTGTCAGAAGTGACCTTTAAGCTATATTGCTCAAGATTCTTAATCAGAGTAAAACTAAGATTTATCCATTGGCAGAACCATGACTGCCACCTCAAGGAAAATTTTAAGAACATTAAAAGTCCATCTAGTTTTACTCTCTAGGACAAAGTACGGACCAGGAGATTAGCAGTCCTTGACACAGCTTTGAAAATCTTACAAAGTACCTAATTATCAGCTAACCAACATTATATCCTTAATATATGACTGGAGTTGAAATTTGTACCTAATGCTATTCTTTCTGTCACAACAGACACCCCCCTCCAAGTATAACACACCAACTATTTCTTATTTCATCACAGTAATACCTGGCATTTTCAAACAAAAGCATTCAAAAAAAAGCACAGTCACCTCAACTCTGCCCCAAGAGAGTTTTAACAGAAAAAGATAAATTGCCATATTTAATTCCAAAGTGCAACCTATACACTCCAGAATACAGTGAGCACGAGTCTAGTATAAAATAATAATGCTTCTGCTTTGTTAAGTGAATCAGCAACATCACCATTTTGTGGTATTTCCAGAACCACAGTAACAGACACAGAAAGCACCATCTGGGGATTTTATCAGGAGTTCCCTGCCATGTCACAAGACATTCAAAAAAGCAACACTTAGCATTTTGTTAGTGTCACAAGCAAAGCAGATTAAAGTTAACATCCTGAACAGCTCTTCACTGCATCTACTGCATCAAAGTCACTCAGAGCTTACCTGAGAAAGCTACCTTTTATTAGCAGTTGGAAGCACCAGAATCTGCCTGTCCTCTGGCTGAGGACTTGCACAGTTTTCTCTGGCTCACCATGAAAGCCACAGTACATGCTATAAATTTATTAAAAGCTACTCACCATCTCTCCCAGAGCTCCAACCATATGAATTACTTTAAATGAATGGCCATCTATACAACTTAAATATTAACAACTAGGATAAAAGGCATTTAAAAGATAAAAGCATTACCTCATTCTCCTTTTCTTGGAGCAAAAGGACAATATCGCCTGGTTCCACACCTGGAGCCTGATCTGCTTCTCCACTGAATGTAATTCTTTGTCCATGTTTCATGCCTTTGTCTACATGGACTTCAAGTATTTTTACCTCCTTGATCACCTTCTTTCCTTCACATTTTTTACAGCGGTCTTTTTCATTAATTACTTCACCTAAATAAAGACAATTTTTGAGTTCAGAGATTTCCACATAATTGCATCCAATTCTAAAGAAAACCTATTTGAGAGCAGGCTCAAGAATTCATGCAACACAGCAAGCAATTTAGATGTTCCTTTATGAATTCCTCCCAAGAGGAAATCCAGGCTCCATTTACCCTAGCTGGGAGAGGTGGAGGGAAGGAAAAAGAAAAAAAGGCGGGGTGTCAGTAAATAACAACAAAGATACACATAACCTTCCAAGCTGTCTTATCAAGGATTTTGAAAAATGAGAGGGCTT